AGCAAATCAAATTGATTACTCAAATTAATTTCATCAGAAGGGAGATCAAGAGTTTGCCCCTTTCTTTTGCGTTTAGGCGCCATGGCGGCAGTAAATTTTTATCCAAATCGACTTCCAAGCAGATTACTATAAGAATCTGAATGATCGAAGAGGAATTTTCCAAATCGATATCCAAGAAAGATTACCTAGGGTAGGGTCCAAACAAGGATCGAAGAGGAATAAGAGTTGAACAAGGTAGAAATTTTTTACAGGTTGAGCATTGAAAAGTGCTGTTTAAAGTTGTTGTAGCTTTAGGTAGTAGTAACACTTCCTTAAGCAAAAAGCAAATAGATCCGCACAGCAAGAGAGCACGATGCGGACTCAAAAACCGTTTTCATTTTGTTCAGGTTTACATCGGGTGGTTTGTAAACAATTCCACACACTAAGTTAGCCTTTGTTAACTTAACAAATAAGTATTCGATTTCACTATTAGGTTCAGACTTGGCAAGAACTGAGAACCGGATATTTTTCTTCAAGTAGAAAGCAACGCCGCCTCCACGATTCCGTTTTGTACATTTCCGGTCGGATCGTATTATTCTATAACCCTGCAATTCAACGGATTTGTTGGTGACAGAAGGTTTGAGCCATGTTTCAACTAACCCCAAAACATTCAATTCTGACTGTTCGAACAGTAGTCGATAATTGTCTACGTTACTACAGAGGCTGCGAGCATTATGCAAAGCAAGCTTCATAAAGTTTATCGAATGTTTTCAAACTATAGTTTAGATATCCCCATAGTTTAAATGGTGTTGTTTTACGGTCGGTTCAAAAATTGAATCAACAGGAAATGGAATTGTAGAAATAGGAAAATGGCAAGAGTTAATAGGTACATCGGTATTCATTACTTTCATGTCGGTTTGGTGGAGATCTGGACTTAGTCGTTTTTTGGACGGAATTCTCTAACTTCTACTCACTCTGGCCAGTAGAAAGCGTCACCGACGATAGAAGCCAAATCGTCAGATACGGAGAGCTTGAACGATACGAATGTACATTCTTCGATGTTTTTGTTGCGGGGCACTAGCTTCACACAATTGATCCTCGAGGTATCGGTGTTCGTAACTTCACGCAGGTAATCGATGATGTGTGAAAAGGCGTAACGTAGAACGATTTAAGGGAGTCAATGGATTCACGTCGTATCCTCAAACGGTTTTTGCAAACCACTTTCAAGCGACACTTGTCATCAGCCGACAATGCTACTTTTTCCTTGATTTGTTTTCCGTACTGAGTACTAATGCTACCGACGCCAGGGAGGCAGCTTTCAAACCTGGACCCTACCCTACCCTACGGAATTACTTCCTTTCCGAAGGAAGGCGTGATCAAAGATTTTATGCCTCAGAAAATCTCAGCGGTGCTGACTGGGATATCCTTTAAACAGCTTAACTCATTTGACGCACATATAGCTGTTATGGCAACGACCTGCTGTTGTTCATAATTCTCTGCTTGTCCGTCAAGCAGTACAGTTCGGTTTTTTACTCGCTCTCTCAAGTTGTTCGCTAGATCTTTGTGTTCGCGGTGTTTGGTGAAGCATTGCCCGACTGTTAACGCGACTGCTAGTGTTCAATTTGTATCGAAAAAGCTGTTGGCGAACAATCGGTTCGCCATCCTAGAAAACGGCGATGAACCGAGGGTGGAAAAGAAGGAGAGAGTACCACCGTTCTTCGTAAAAGGATTCCTTGTGGGAGAAAATCGACTTTTACATCGGTAAAGGTCTCAAGTATACCATGCGCCTGTGCACTGATGCTGATGGTCCCAGCGATGAACCACTACAAGGCTGTCAAGGTGTAGCTGAAGCTGAAAATCGTGGAGTAATGATGCACCAAATTTGGTCCCCCTCCCTCTTATAATGTATTTTTTCTAAATAGCTGGTCCCCCTAAAATGCAACGTCATTTATGCATCTTCCCTAAGGGCCTAGCCACAATGATCGATACTCTTCATCGATTTTCTTTTGAAGTAGGACTATGTCTGTGATTTCTATATGGTGGTACACTTTGTGAAAACCAAAAATGGCACATGTAACAAAATTATGATAGATTTTGAACGTTAATAACTCAGCTGCCCCTGGACCAATTTCAATAATTTTATCACCAATCGATCAGAAATATTTCTACGCATGTGCTTATATTAAGACTTTACCATTTTTCAAGATGTCACTATTGAAAATTGTGTGAATGTGCAACTGTTGCTATGATCATTAAAATTATCACCGATTGCCTGCGAAAATCGATTTCCCTAACACAGATTTCAAAGTTGAATTCCATTCGGTCTCACCAAATGGTGTTTATTCAATCACCGCGTCGCGAGTAGTGGTGTTCTCCAGTACACAACGAAAGGCTCCCTGCAAGCAGCTGGCTATCAAGGCTTGCCTCAACCGCTGATCGGATTCAGTTCCAATCACCGTGTGTGGTGGTGTCCGGTCGTCGGCATCAGCAGCAGCAGTGCTTTCGGCGCGTGGTGTTGAACTTTGTTCTCTAGTTTACAACGAAAGGCTGCCTGCAAGCAGCGAGGTGCAGCTCACATGAGCATCCATAGAAAGAGGAAGAAGCCGCACTGCTATTGATCGGAATCAGTAGCTCTTCATGAGTCGCTGTGGGCCATCTATGCCAAGCACGTCACCCTCATTCCAATCAACATACAACCATAGAGGTAACTCTAAGACCACTGGGTCCCGAAGAAAATCATTATTATTTTTGGCTCACTCAGTACCAGAACAACGTCCCCAAGCACTCCCAAGCTATTTCACTCACCCCTGCATGTTCTGCATCAATCCACACACCCCTGATGTTATCTGTCAAACTTTCATAGCGAATCAAAACAAACATAGTGTAGTAATAGAATTTCAACTAGAATAGGGTACGTTAATCATTTGCTTGGGACCAATAGGCTACTAAAGTGGTGAGCCAATTTAAAATCGTTAGTTTCGTATTGATTGTTGATACAACTCACCAGCCTCATCTGTGTTTAACACCATAATAGTTCAGCATTACTCAACCATCACCATCACCATCAACCATTTCAGCATCTATGTCATGCGCGTCAAACTAGACAGACGGAGAGAACCCCGCACAAATTCCTATTCCTACACAAAATACAAGCTCCTGCTGCAGTTAACAAATAAGATTTATTGTATAAGACCACGTAGTCCTACGTCATCATTGCTTACAACCCCATAGGGCTGTCCCTTGTTAGTTTTTTGCTAATAACTCGGCTGAATGGATCAATGAAAATGCTGAGATTTTGAGAATAGCGCCAAAAGCATGCTGTGATGGGTTCAAAACTGGACCATCTAAAATGATCAATTAACATTTCTCGGTGCGTTTCTTGATAATTTTGCTAGCCAAAAAGACCTTTTACAGTAATGCATTGGAAACATTTCGGAAAATTGGATCACTCAACAGCAAGGCCCTACATTTTCGAAGCTCTCAAATGAACTCGAGTTTTGCTTCTATCATACAATGTTCAACGCATCATGTCTATAACACCTAGCTAGACTATCAGCACGAAGCGAAAATGAAAAGACGCACGCTTAGAACGAAAGGATGGCTGTGGATTTTCTCGTCATTGCTTTGCTCATCGCTTCCAATGAAACTAACATCTAACAAACTAATTCAATCCCTTTCACCGACACTCTATCACCGCTCTTTCAATTTGTTTAATATTTTTTGTGTCCAAGGGGTAATCAACTCTGCACACTGTGCCGAAACACAGTATGGTACCATAGAGGTAACTCTAAGACCAGAAGGTCCCGAAGAAACGTGCTCCAATTTTTGGCTCAGCTCTGGTACTCTCTTCGGTCCCAAGCTAATCGATTCACCCCTCGAAACATAGGAAAAACCAATAACCCCTCATTTTATCTGTCAAACTTTCATAGCTAATCAAAACAAACATTGGGTAGTACTAGAATTTCGACTAGAATAGGGTACGTTAATCGTTTGCTTGGGACCAATAGGGTACTAAAGTGGTGAGCCAATTTAAAATCGTTAGTTTCGTATTGATTGTTGGTAATAGTGAGACAAAGAGAAAGATCAATGAAGGCCAAAGAAGAATGCTAAGATGAACCAGTCGGAAGAAAATCTTTCTATTTTAGTGTCCTCTTTCACGGTCCCTTTAATCCAATGAATACCCCCCGTATGCAAGGTAATTTTGTGGTTTTGCTGCCCCCTCGGTAGAGATGGAATTTTGCGCCATTTTTTTTGTTTTGACACCAAAATCAGAGATGTCTCATTTTTTAATTACTCGATTAACAACTAATCGATTATTTTTTGTTGGCTGTGCTGTCATTTTTCCACCAATTAGAGTATAACACATGTTTGAAACGATGGGTGACTTGAGTGTCTGGAGCAATTGATGCTTATATCGGCATGATATAACCGATTACAAATATTTTACTTTTCGGTTCGTTAATCGATTAATTGATTATTCGAATGAAAATCGGCCATCACTAGATGAGTGTGAAACGCCATTTCAAATATAAGGACTGTACATAAATAATGATACAATTTGAAAGGGACCGGGGCTAATAAAAAATTACGTCCTCATGGTAACTGAAATAAACACGAGTGCTGGCTGGTTGGTTAGGCCCTTATGATTCTGAACGCTAGATTTCATTATTGGATCAAACAATTCTGGGCAAATTGAAGGAGGATTATAAATTATTTATTATATTTTGTCGGTCAAGTTGGACACCGGAAAACCCCACACGGGACATTCGATATTACTCTCGTTCTGTATGTTGAACATAACGTCGGACATAGTGTATAGTGCATCATTTTGCGAATACAGCGCACTAATTTTTAACGTAACACATATTTTTAACGTACAGAACAAGAACAAAATCGATTTCCGCGCGTGGGATTTTCCGGTTTTCAACTGTATCGATAATAATTAAGCTTTGCTGTATTTCAAAATTGGGAAATTTTGCATTGGAGAGGGGGGTCTGTGGTATCAACAAATGACGAACTGCCCTTTTTTTCAATCGTCTTTATTTACAGTTTTCTGATCTTAAGACTACCTGCACACATTTACATCCACTAGCATCTACGAACTGTTTTTCCTCCTCTACAAAACTCTGCTCAACACGAGGGCCACTACCACAGTGAGTACACCCGCCCCAAAACTCAACCGCTCCGCACCGCCTCCGGTAACTGGCACTTTTGGTGTCGACCCATCCACATCGTCTGGCAGATTGGAGATTTCGTTCTCCTGGTTCAACTCGTCAATCGCCACCACGATGGCATCGTTGACCGTTCTCAGCAGCTTGTACTTCTCCTGAACCGGAGGTGGGATGTTAAGTTGAATTTTATTTTGATCCCCGAAATCGGCAAAGGTTTCCTTCTCCGTATCGCACAGCCCGTTGAAGTCATCCGTATCAACAGACCAAATCATCAAACCACCCAGATTTTGACGAATGGCATAGCGCACCTTGTTAGCCATCGAGCGAGTGTTATCGTAGATAACTACTTTGGTCTTGTCCCCATCTGGCATGGTGGCAATGGCCTCCGAAGCTTCCGCATCCCATGATACAGTCCAACTATCGGGGCTTTCCTTCAGAGCTTCACAAATTTCATTATATCCCATGAAACCGTTCTCATTGGTCGATGGACCGGCAAATCCTTTGTCGTCCGAATCATCACCAATTCTGGCACGTTTCGATTCGGTCACAAAGGTCCTTCCATAGAAGGGCAGTCCCATAACGATCTTGTTCGAAGGTGCTCCCAGATCAAGCAAATGCTCGATTGTAAACTCAACGTTCAACACGTCGCGACTCTGCAGTGGAGCATTCGGCCCGATTTTCCTGTTCCAACTGCCATTGTAGTCGTAGCTCATGATATGCAAGAAGTCCAAGTACTTGGAAAGATTTTTGATATCGTAGGCCGCATCGATCGTATCTTTTCCAGCTCCGATGGCCGATGTCAGCAAAAGATTGTTTTTCTTGAGCAGTTGACTCAGTTCCTTAACCAGCGAAACGAAATTCTCCCGATCGAATGGTTTTCCACCACGCTGCGTTGGGTATTCCCAGTCCAAGTCGAGTCCGTCGAAACCGAAGCGCCTGAAATGGTGGAAGAATTTAACCCGGTTATCTGATTAAAAAAAAACTAAATAAAAACACCCATCATACTTAACAAACTCCAGCGCGTTCTTGACGAACGCTTGGCGACGTTCCGGATTGGCTGCCATGTTGGAGTATCTTTCGGAACCCTCGTTCCAACCGCCGATCGCAATCAGCACCTTAAGGTGCGGGTTGGAGTTGCGCATACCGATCAGTTTCTCGTAGCCACCCTTGCCGTAGTTGTCTTTCAGGTCTTGCCATGGGTCTGGATAATGGGAAGATAAATAAGTGTAAGTAGGTATACTTTGTTGTCGTTATCTGTAAGTACACGCGTGGGAACAAGTGTTTCTAATTTATGAATAAACAGAACATTCGTGTACACGATTAGTCAGAAGAAGCGAATTAACTTTTATCTTTAACAACGGGCGATGACATGGAAGGTAAATCAAGACCAACTGGTCCCATACAAGTGATAGCGTTCATTTGATACTTGGCAGTTTATTAAGTGATTGAATTAGGGGCTGAATCACCAAATTTGTGTGACTAACGCATATAGCTCGTAATGGATTCTACGAACTGTTCTTTTGAAATAGTCCGTCTACAATGTATGAGGTACTTTAACAGTTCAATTGTATCTACCTAAAAAAACTAATATCTTACGCGAATCTTTCCGATTTAAATGAAATTGTGTCTACGTTTTCAGCAGTAGGGAGCGTCACACACCGGCACATGCACAGGAACACGCCGCTCCGTAAAACCACAGACAAACAGACGTAATTATTTGAATAAAATTATCTGCAAAACATAGTACCGCTAAACATAGGACTCCAGTAACGACATTTCGCGGGCTTCTCGTGGAAAACAAGCTTGCTCGCTGATTCGCAAACAATGTTGCATGCAAGAAAAACCGAATAAAATTATTATTATTATTATTATTATTATTAGGGGAATTTACGTATTCTCGGCAACCTAAGCAGCGACCTTCTTTCTATAGCCTTTTTCTCTATGGAACGCACACATATGCAGTATTGGTTTGTTTACAATCTTTTGCTGCCAGCTGCTCTAACAATTTCAGTCGAAAGAATTGTCAAAAACTGTTTTGAAACGCTTTTACAAAGCTCCAATCTTCTCTAGTGAGAGCGAGTATTGTCGGCAACCAGTTTTTCTTCGGCAACCGTTCCATTTGAACTGCATGTAAATCTGCTGTTATATTATCGGCAACTCGAAATCTGCTACAATTTGTAGTGCGTGTGTTTCATTTCAAGAAAACCCTGCTAGATTGCTTTTTCTCAGTGGTAAAAATATAGTCAAATTGAAGCTGAAAGCATAAATAATCGTTTGCATGCATTCAGCGAAGTGTTTTCGTAAGAAAATCCAGTGAAAATAGTGTTTCAATTTGGGTTGCCGAAAATAGTCTGTCATGCCGAAGCCGTCATTTCCCTATTATTATTATAGTCCATCTGACTTGATAGTCTCAATGAAACACTTAAATCTAAATGTAGTCACTAATTAAAAATTAAAAATTGGCCGACAGCAAACGATGACGAAACCTGGAGGCACAGACAAACAGACGTAACTCTTTGAATAAGTTTTGCTTGAAAACATTGTACCTCAATAAATAGGACATCAGTAACGACATCTTTCGGGCTTATCGTGGAAAATAAGATTGCTCGCTATGTCGCTAACAATGTTGCATGCGAGGTCAACAGAATATATAGAAACGTCAAAGTGTTCCGATGCCAGCGCTGCGATGAGAAGTTCTCGCAAATGATAATATTCAAATCAATCGTTAAATGCGTGAACGATGATCCAGTATTAAGTGTTACGTCTGTTTGTCTGTGCTGGAGGCATTGATGTCAAAGTCAAAGAGGTCAGAGGCTTCGTTGAATTGATGAATCATGGCGACAAAGGAACCGTTTGCAGCATAGTTGGTTGCATGTACTGCTTCATGTAGCAAGGTTCTCGAACGGAGTGTTCGGGCAGGAGCATACAGATTAATGTTGGCCAGTAACTCAGGAACATCATATTCTGCAAGCAAAACTTTAGCAACGAAGACGACCTGCGATACGTTTCGTCGCTTAGCAAGAGTATCCAAACCCAGTAAACGACAGCGGTCAGCATACGGTGGTAAATTCAGCGGGACACTCCATGGAAGATAGCGCAGTGCGTATCTGACGAATTTGCGTTGAACAGCTTCGAATCGTCCACTCCATACTGCTTGGTAGGGATTCCAGACAACACACGCGAATTCAAGAAGTGAGCGTGCCAATGAACAGTAAAGGGCTTTAAAACACAGAGGATCACGAAATTCCTTAGATATCTTGAACATGAATCCAAGCTGACGATTAGCTTTGTCGATCGTGGTTGAGAAGTGGCGAGTGTATGTGAGCTTTTCATCCAACATGACACCGAGGTCTTTAACGTGATCGACACGTTGAACTGCAGTCCCAGCAACGTTATAATCAAACAAAACGGCAGTCCTAGTTCGACGGAAACTAATTACGCAGCACTTTGAGACGCACAGGACCATAAAATTACGTTCACACCAATCATTAAAGATTTCAAGAAGGTTTTGTAGTTCTAAACAGTCGGCATAGCCTCGAACGACTAGATCAATCTTCAAGACATCAGCGAAAAACAATTTACCTCAACGTAGTAGAATAAACGTTACATCGTTCACAAATAAAGAGAAGAGAAGTTGTCCCAAAGTGCTACCCTGTGGAACTCCTGATCTGTTCGAGAAACAGTACGATGAGTAGTTTCCAATGCATACAGTAACTTTACGTTGCACGAGGTACGATCTAATTAATTAATTTATCTTTATTAGGGAGGCTTTCAGCCTTGGGCTGGTTCGCCTCCACTAGGTACGATCTAAGCCAGCTGCAGAAGGAAACAGAACATCCAATTTTTTCAAGCGTTGCTAGCAGAACGTCGTGCACAACTGTATCAAACGCAGCTTTAAGATCAGTGTAGATCGAGGGGGGCGACACATCTAAATCTCAATTTTAGATGCTCAATAAATTTCACACTAGCGAATAAATCTTTGAAAAATCTTCTTTTATTTCTCGCATCTACTTGCATCGCGCATCATCTTTTTGCAGGAAATCTTCAAAATCGTGATAAATCTTCTTTCTATCTACTCAGCGACTCTTCTTCCATCTATCAGCGACTCTAAAGCTGGGTTTAGACTAGGCAATCAAATGATCAATTCAATTGGCTTGAAAAGTTGAGCCTGGTTCAACTTTTTTCAATTCAAGTGAGTTGATCAAGTCAGTTGACTGGCATGGTTTACACGTTCAATTCGCGTTCAAGTCAGTTGAATTCAACTGCCTTGATCCATTTACTTGCCCTGTCTAAACCCAACTTAACAACTTAGATTCAACCCCAAGCGAGGTAATCCCACGGTAGTTTTCCACATTGCGTTTGTCTCCTTTCTTGAAAACAGGGAACATAGTAGAGCGTTTCCATAGTGCGGGAAATTTCTGTTGACGAAGTGACAGGTTGAAGAGCAAGGACAACGGAGCAGCTAAGATATCGGAGCATTTTTTAGGACAGCAGATGGAATAACACTCGGACCTGGTGACCATTTGTACATCTACGGCAAAAACATCCATGTTTACGACGTCGGTTGGCACATCACGGACGGCTCGCTAAATTTCTACTTGCGATGGGGAGTCATTCGAGAAGACGCTTAAGAAGTGCCTAGCAAGCATTTGTCCTCAGTTGTCAATGCTACGTCATTGCCGAGAAACATTTTTGACGGCAGCCCAGTTTCCTTCCTCTTCGTATTCACAAACGACCAGAATCCCTTGGGGTGGCATTGCAGATTATGTTGAGTACGAATTACATACCTCTTGTAAAGAAGCTTGTTGTAGTGGCGATAATCATTGCTGGCAATTGAAAAATTTCGCTTGGTAAGGGTACATCCATAGAGGTAACTCTAAGACTAGAAGGTCCCGAAATAACGTGCTCAACTTTTTGGCTCAGCTCTGATACTCTCTTCGGTCCCAAGCTAATAGATTCACCCCTCGAAACATAGGAAAAACCAATAACCCCTCATTTTATCTGTCAAACTTTCATAGCTTATCAAAACAAACATTGCGTAGTACTAGAATTTCGACTAGAATGGGGTACGTTAATCGTTTGCCTGGGACCAATAGGCTAGTCAAGTAGTGAGCCAATTTAAAGTCGTTAGTTTCGTATTGATTGTTGGTACATCGTCGATGAGTGAGAACACGGAGAGCTCTAGATCGCACTCGTTTCAGGTTGCGGAGAGTAGCGTTAGACCAAGGCGGTTTTCTTGGAGGTAGGCACTTCGGTACTGAAGCACAAGCACAGTCGCGCAAAAGACTATTATAGCAAGCGGCTGCTGTATCGATATCAAGGTCATTCAACACGTTTCAGTTGATTCGAGACAAGGAACGCCTCAGCAAACGGATATCGGTCTTTCGGAAATTGAGCCGAGTGGCAGCCATGGTTTCATCAAAACAAATTTGAGATCCGTTCGCGATAGATATATCCAAAGCAAGGTGGAAATTGTCAAGAGGAACGATAACATATATAGAATATGTAGAAACGTCAAAGTGATCCGATGCCAGCGCTGCGGCGAGTAGTTCGCGGAAACTTAACATTCAAACCAATCGTTAAATGCACAAACGATGATCTAGAATGAAGAGTTACGCCTGTTTGTCTGTGGTAGAACTCTCTGGTGGAATGCCGCGCTTCGACATCGACATCGACGTAACATTCTTCGCAAAGTTCGCCGCCGCTTTTTCATTCTTCGTAGCTGAATATGAAGAATGCGTCTCTTCCTCTTTCCGTGAGTATATCTTCCAAATCGAAGTCACTCAGTCGTTCCCATCGGAAATGACATTCGATGGCAGAACGAGTCATGACATCGTAGGTTCAGTCGCATTCTTTGCCGATTATTTCAAATCAGTGTACAATGCTGTCCCTCCGGCAGACTCTCCGGATTTGTTAAATTCCTTGCCGTCATACGATATACCTTTTCCGTGCCCAACGTTTGCTATAGCAGATGTCACCAATGCGCTGAGCTCCGTAGGTCCTGAATCGGAAAACTACCTCCCGTGTTTATTCGTCGATATTCCGAGGGTTATTCAACCTTTCACTATCGGAAGCTGCCTTCCCGGATGCATGGAAGTTGTCTTCGGTTACACCAATACACAAGGCCGGAAACATTCCTAGCGTTGAGAATTGCCGACCTATTTCTATTCTTTACTGTTTAGCAAAGCCGTACGAGCTTTT